ATGAACTCATTGTCACAGGAAAACCTTTCTGTTGGTTGCACAGGCACTAAGAACAGCAGTTAATAAATGGGCCCTCATGAACTAAAAAATTTCTGCATGGCAAAAGTCACCATCATTTAGAGAAATTAGGAAACTACAGAATGGGAAAAGATTTTTACCAACTGCATAACCAATAGAGGGCTAATATCCAAAATATATAAAGAACTCAAAACATTGACATTAAGAAAACAAATAACCCAATTTAAAAGTGGGGTACAGATCTAAACAGAGAATTCTCAAAGGTGGAAAATCAAATGGCTGAGAAGCACTTAAAGAATGTTTCAACATCCCTAATCATCTGGGATATGAAAATTAAAGCTACTTTGAGATTTCACCTTATACAGTCAGAATGGCCAAGGTGAATAACACAAATGACATTTTATGCTGGCAAGGTTGTGGACTAAGGAGAATACTCATCCATTGCTGTCGGCAGCAAAAACTTGTACATTTTCTATGGAAACCAGTGTGGTGGTTCCTCAGGCAGTTGGGAGTAGAGCAACTTCAAGATTCAGCTATACCACTATTGGGCATATACCCGGAAGACACTTCATTATACTACAGAGACACTTGCTTATTCATAATATCCAGAAATTGGAAACAACCAGATATCCACTGACAGAAGAATGAGTAAAGAAAATATGGTACATTTACATAATAGAACATTACTCAGTCATTAAAAGTAATGAAATTTTTAGCCAAAGGGATGAAACTAGAAAAAGTCATTCTGAGTGAGGTAACACAGACATGGTATATGTTTGCTTATATTTGGATTTGAGCTATTAAGCTATTTGAGCTATTGATAAGCAAGTCATAATCCATATAACCACAGAGGTTAGGTATAAAGCTAGGGAACAGGGATCAGGAGATCTCATTAGGAAGAGAAAATAGAACAGATAGTTATGGATGGATGAGGAAGGCTGAAAGGGGGGATCAAATGGGAAAAGGGAGGGAGAAGAGGGACAAGAAAGGGAGTACAGGGAAGGATAGCTAAAACTAAGGAACATTTAAGGGATCATGTGGAGAACTTAATACGGTAGAAGCTTCCTAAAGTATATACATACATGAAAGCAATCTAAATGAAATCACCAAATAACAGGGGTATTGAACCCCAAATTAAATCTCTCAAGACCAAATGAAGCTTCCAGTACCAGGAATTAGTTACATCTATCTGAGCTGTTGGCCAAAGGGGCTTCATGAGGATCTGAAAACAACCCAGGGTATTGTCAAGGCTATTGTCTGCTCTCTACAAATAAACAACACTTGTGATCCTGAGGACAACAGTTGTGCCGGGGACCAGCCTCAGCAGTTTCGGGGGTCCGAAGGACGGGATACCTGGAAGGCGCAGTAACGACTCAGAGACAGTGCTCGTGCAAGCTGACAGGTCACTTCCGGCTTCTGCAGTTGCTAAGTAGCCTCTTTGCTACAGTTTCTTTAGCTTCCCTAGCTTCTGCTTTTGCCCTGGTAACCTCAGGCTTTTATTATCATAAGCAAGTGGGAACAGAAAGAAAAGGGGAAATCACCCAATACAAAATGTTCTCATGATTCCAAAGGTTAGTCTCAGAAAATCACCAATATAATCTTCATCATCTTTTACTAAACATAGGAACTATCCCAGACTTAACACCAAAGCAAGCACAATCTGTTTTTATTATTAATGATTATACAATCTTCTGAGCACTTGACCCAGAGGCTAGCAACATGCAATTTCGCAAAAAAAAAAAAAAAAAAAAGGTAAAAATAAGAACAGTGGTCAATGTACCAGACAGTCATTTCCTTGTCACACAGCCTGCTCCAACCTCAAGACCCCTGCAGCCACCTAAGTTCCTCCTCAGCCCTCTGCAAACACCAAGCCCCATGATTGGTGGGGCCGCAATGACCTCAGACAAGAAATCTGTCCCTGCAAGTCAGCAAATTCAGTCCTTCTGTATCCCAACAGTTCCAAGGAAGACCTGATCCAATTTGCAGAGTTTCCATGAAAGGAAGCTCACCTTTTCTGGCAGCTCGTTTTAATCTAGGAACCCAATAAAACTTGCAGCAATCACTCCAGCCATTGCCACATTGTCTCCACACTCCTTCAGGAGGAGCCAAAATATCTGGATTAAAGTTGCCATCTCCCTTTCTTGGTGGAGGCCACTATTTTTCTCCTATTCTAGGTTCCCACACGTTTAGTTTGTCATCCCATCTATATGTTACTCCATCCATAGTCTTCAGCCAATACCCCTTTAGAGTCTCAAGTTTTACACAGTGCCTTGGAATATCCTCAGAAACTGAATTATTCATCATGGCCAATTTGAGTCCAGTGTGTTGACACACATCATACCATGTGCTATAGTTGACCACACATTTGGTACAGTTTATCCAAGCCTGAAAAGCTTCCCCAGGTGCAGATTCTTTCCCATGAACTATATAACTTCCTTAACCGCAGCCTGGGTGATCATCTCTGTATAATTTCCTGTGAAATTTACTTCACTCCTTTCCTGTATCACAGAAATCATCATTGATCTAGGAACACAGAACATGAAGATCAGATAGAAGAAAAAGACTAGTACTACAAGAAGTATTTATATGGAGGAGGACACAACATGTGCATGACATAAAGCATGACCTTGGGACACAGGCATTTCTGCCTTGGCCCTCTAGAGGCATGCTAAGCACAAGATCCAGAGGAGAACACACGGAGGGTTGATGGTCCACAATCTTGGGTCCCCTTTTCTCCAATCGCTGCTGGCAGCATGTCAGCCATCTTATAATGCAGTCCCTGGCACACCTACACACCTAATTGAACACAAAAAATTCAAATGGGGGCCAATCTAAAGCGTTCACCCCTACAGATTAGAGTTTATGGTACTGGAAGGTAACATGGACACTACAAAAAGGAGAAAAGTAAAAACCAACCCAGCTGCAAACCCTTCAATCTACAATGGTGTCCTGCCTGTAAGATATGCTAGTACAATAATGGCACAAACTTGTGAGCATAACCAACCACTATCTGATTTGATTTAAAGCATGGAATTCATACTGGACACTGCTTGTGTGGTGAAGAATCTGAGTCTAAATAGGCCAAGGGACAAAGGAGAAAATCAAATACTAGTGTTCTACTAAAAGAATGTAGCAATAAAATGACTTCAAATGACACTCTGCTGGGCTCATAGATCTGTGTCCTGAGCAGCCATCATCAGAGAGGCTTCTTCCAGAAGCAAATGGGAACAAACACAGAGACCCACCACCAGAAAAGGTGCAAAGAGTGAGAGACCTTGAAAAACTCAGCCCTATACTGGATGTCTCCATCAAATTCTTCCCCTCAGGGCCCAGATAATTCTTTGGAAGTAGTGGTAGAAAGACTGTAAGAGCCAGAGTAGATGGAGGACACCAAGAAAACAAGGTCTTCTAAACAAAGCACAACAGACATGTATGTAAACTCAGAGACTATGGGAGCATGCACAGGTCTGAACCATTTGGGCTCCTGGATAGAAAGAAGTGGATACATGCCCCCATCCCAAATCTGGAAGATATCTCCATTGATAGCCACTGGCAAGTGAAACATTAGTTTTCTCCAATGAGTCTCACTGGGGAAACAAACCACTCTTAAGGGAAGGCCTCATGCCCAGCAGTAGATTGTCAACACCAAATGAACTCAATAGAATCTACAGGCCCTTTGTATTTATATATATGTATATACACACACACACACATTATTACTTCTGCTTTTGTGTTTTTATGGGATTCATATGTGTGAATTTCTGTTTCTATATCTATATGTGATTCTTGTGCTTTTTCTTTGGCTCTTTTTCTTTGGTTTGTTTTGTCTTACTCTGATTTGTTTATGTTTGTTTTATCTTGTTGTTTATTTTATTATTATTGCTCAGATGCTTGGTTGTTTTCTAAGGAGAGACAAATCTGTTTGAGAGGAGGAGAGGAAGAACTGAGAGGGGTAGGGGAGCAGGAAACCCTAATCAGAATATATTGTATGAAAAATAATCTTTTTTCAATAAAAGAAAAACACAACATTGAAATGGTGAAGTCTGGTGGTGAACAGTTCTAATGCCAGAGCTGGGGAGACAGAGAGAGGAGAAGAACTGGGGCTACCATCTTGGCCTATTGGGTGAGCTCCAGGTTACAGTGAGAGATGCTCTCTCAAAATAAAGATGAATGGCACATGAAGAACAATAGGGAAGGTTGTCTCCTGGTCTCCTTGTGCACATGCACACATAGCCTTCATCTGTGAACACTCACATGCACACACGCATTCATCCGTGATCACTCACATGCACACACACACATTCACACTGCACATCATGTATGTATGTATAAACAATTTTTAGTGCCGATGATTTTCAGTAAGTGTGGATGATATCAAGTGCAAATAAACAGGGAAATGAAATTTTCATATAAGACTATTTAAGTAACTGTGGGTAAAAAATGGAAAATTCAAATTCACACTATTTTTAGGATCTAGAGAAACATCCTTAGGAGAGAATTAAAGCTACAAAAGGATATTTAAACTATTCTCGATGACTGAAAGTAGATTAAAAGCCCTTCCTTTGAGTAATTTCAGTATCAATGGAACATTTATGATATAAAATAAAAAGGGAGAGAGTAAGGGACTCCCTGTGGAAATATCGACTCATGGTGTACAATGAACCTAAAGAACGCTACATTACTCGGCAGTAGAAATGTCATCAGAATGTACATGCATAACACCACAAACTTTAGTTAAATATATGAAGAATCTTGGTTTGCTACTTGAACAATTAAACAGTTTAAGAAGAATCTGTGTTTTTTTAAAAAATAATTGCACCAAAATGACTCCTCACAACCATTTGTATATCCAGTTCAAGGGGGGAAATGACCTCTTCTGACCTTTGTGGGGACCAGGAATTCACACACGGCATACAAGCTGACATAATACTCATAAACATAAATAAAAATAAATAAACTGTTTTATTAAAAAATGAGATAATTTATGCTTTTTTAAAAATTTGGTGGTGCACTGACTGCATCTGTTTCAGAATGTTGATTATTCTGTTATCAGAACTGATTTGTACCAGAGGAGTAATTGTGGGATAGGCATTCATCACAAACTTCTGAACAGTTAGGATGACTGGGTTGTACTTCCATAACAAGACTGAGGTGGATGAGATGATGAAGTCCACCCAGTACATGACCACAAAGACAAACACCAACAGCAAGATGGTCTGGGTGGCCCTCTTCTCGGGGGATGCTCTTGTGTGGCTGATGCTGTGAAGATGCTTACATTGCCTGTGATGTCTGAACAAGATAATCACCATGTATGCACTTGTGGTCAACATAACTCCTACAAGAAAGACATCTCTGGAGATTGTCACTGTTAAAGACAGTGCACTAATGATGTAGTTCTTGGGGAAGAGTGAGCAGGATTCAGTGACCTTCATCTGGTTGCTCTCACTCACATTGGTAAAAGTACCAACATAGAAGATCCACCTACTACTGAATGACAAATTGAAAGACCAGAGGTAGAAGAAAGCATAGATCATGTATGTTTTTAGTTTATGTTTAAATTTTGCCAACAGTGAGGTACTGGGACTGATAGTGACAGCCTGGAACACACTCAGAAGGCAGGTGATGCAGATGGAGAGGCCTCTCATCATCCTGCTTATGTAAAAAGTTGCCTTACATTTGAAGTCATTCTCAAGGTTCAGTGACTCAAATACGTGTGTAAGCCAAATATCCCCTCCAATGAGGACCATTATTATGTGGACGAAGGTCAGTTGACAGGAGATCAGGTCTGTGGGCTTAGGTCTGTGACACAGGATTATGACAGTGTAGAAAAAAAGGAGAAACAAATTGGCTAGAACTCCAAGTCCAGATTGGAAATAAAGGATATTGTTTAATGAAGACATATATGCAAAGTATATTCATTTCAGCATTGTAGTGGAAGCATATTTCATATATCTAGAAAAAATAATATTCATCAAACTTATGATTCACTCGTCAGTATGTCTATATCATCATTCTGTTTTACTTACCAATTTTATTAACCTGTCTCTTTAACTTTTGATGTTCCAGACTGGATAACATATACTTCTATATACTTCTCCATGTATCTACCTGTATATATAGCATACTAGAGATGATAAAGGCATTTACAGTCACATCCTCCTATACAGAATATATACTGTGTGTGGCTGTATTGCACTTAGGTGTCATGCCTTAGAAATCCAATCCTATTGATTTACATTGCCTCATAATATAGTTAACACCTAAAACAATAGTGATGAACACAGAATATTAATCAAATTTTTTCAACCAACTGAAACTTATGATGACCTGGAAAATATTCATAAAAGAAACCAAAAGAGTGAGGTAAGTCAGTCTCACATTGCATAATTTTAATATGCAATATTTTTGTAGATACTGAAAGCTATGCTTGACTCATAATTCTAATGGAATCACAGTGAAAATTCATGATAATCCTACTGTTTTAATCAGCAAAATGTTTGTCTTCATATTTTCCTTTTTTTATGTCCCTTTTTCTATGAAGTCTTACATCCCCAGAATCCAGAATTAAAGACATAGATACATTTGGAGACCATTATTGCACTTTTCACACACTATTAATTGTGTAATCATTAATTATGGTTATAAATGATCCAAACTGTCTCCCAGGTTAGCTCCCATCCCATCACCTTTTAGAACACTCCAGTTCAGGTTTAAAGAACTAACTCCCAGCTATTGAGACAAACCCGGTTTTTTCTTTGCTTTGGAGGCCAGTGAGTAAATCATTAACAGTATGATTCCATATGATTTTTTCTCTTTTTGCCTTATAACTTTTTCAGCCATCCATTTTGTTAGTTTACTTACCTCCCTCCTTCTTCTATATTAATGTCCCCTCTTTAACTAAGAACCCCCCATTTTCTCATTTTCCCAATCAGATCACTTGTGTCCTGCTACTCAGCTGTACCTTCCTCCCACCTTCTTCTATATTGACTTCCCTCCTCCCTGCTAAGGACCCAACCTTCGCCCCTTTCCCTGATGAGATCACTTGTACCCTGCCCTTATCTCTCTAATGCTCTGTGCCCCACCCTCATCCTCATCTTGGTCCCCTTTTGCTCTGGTGTCTGTAGTTACTGCAGCTACACACTCACATCTGAAGATGTCGAGCTAGGAGCCTCCAAGAAGAGAGATCATGAGACTAAGAAAAACACTATTTTCAACACACTGGGAAAAACTTGAACTTGCAGAAGATGACCTGTTTTTGAATTTCTATTTTAAAAGAGATTGGCTTCCATGCAGTGGAAACCAAGGCCCGAGTGTTATCAGAGGTCATCAGCACCAGACAGTGTTTACAGTTCCACTCAACAGTCTTACCTTGGTGCCTACATTAGTTATTTGGGCTGGTTACCAGTGTCATTATTTTGTCCAATTACTATAATTCAGTACTTTAAAATTAGCTTTGTGATAAAGAAATAGAAAACTGCTACACTGACTCAGATTCTTGTGAGAAAAAGAGTGCCCAATTGTATTGTCAAGCTCACTATTATATTCCACATACACAAATTAATGCATGCCTGTATGTATAGAAATAATGCAGAAATTAGTGTATAAGACAACCCTATAACATTCCCATGAATATGACACCATAAATCACAAATTTTATATTTACATGATTTTTGCTCTTGAAAAGCTTGATCTAGTAAAAGTATAGACTCATCCCAGTTGCCAGAGACAAACATCTGATTCTCCCACCAACATACTTATACAGTAGCTGTACTGTGATGCTCTGTATTTATAAAACCTCTGGAATACAAGCTGGAGAGATGGCTCAGTGGTTCAGAGTATGTTTACTCTTGTAAATGACCTGGGTTAGATTCCCAGCAATGACATGGGAGCTCATAACCATCTGTAACTCTAGTTCTGGAGGAGCCATTATCCTCTATGACCCAGGCATGCAAGTGGCACACAGACATATATATGCAGGCAAAACACTCATATATGTAGAATAAAATAAATAAATCTTAAATAATAAATCTTAAATAAATAAAAGCTCCAGGGTAACTCTTATTTCAAGCCTTGGACATCAAACTGAAAGATTTAGAGTTCAATTCTAATTTTAAAATTGCAAATGGACAAACCATAGATGTAAACTTTTTCATTAATTATACATCTGTAATTTATCAGTATAGCACTTGTATCATAGGTAATATAAAAAGATGATAACATAAGGTAAAAGGTAGTAATCTAAAATGTTTTTTCCTTAGCCCAAAGATATATTATACAGTCTGTATATTTCATATCTATTGATTTGTCAATGTTTATAACTTACAGAAAATGATGCATCATCTCCTAATTCATCATGTGGCATCTTCCTCTGGAGCTCACCTAGCTGAGACTTAACTAGAAAAGACCATAGCTACCATGGCTAAAAACTGAGTTGTTAACATATACATGCACTTGGAAAAGTTATTTGTTTTATTTGAAAAAAAATTGCAGTGCTGGGGCCTTTCATATCAATTTAAGTTACACTATTTAGCTTAAAGTACTAAACCCAAAGTGTAACCATATATATTCATAATATGGAGAAGCCATCACTATTAAATTGACCCAGACCTAAAGTCCAAGCAGTCTTCAGGCAGCTGTCTGGAAAGATGTGCAACAATAGAAACCAAGAGCTGCTTCCTGCATAGCTCTACAATCTTCTGGGGAAAATCACTTTACCCCTTCATCATCACAATGTTTGATTTGGAACCCTCTTGTCCTATGAATTTATGGTGAGCTTTGTATTCTTCTTGTGGAGATTTAATGAAATAACAAACATAGAAATATATTAGATAAAAAGTTTCATTTTCATTTTCATTTTTACCATAGTTAGTAAGTAATGACCAAAAGGCGGCAGGACTGCTCAGAGAGAACACAGAGTGATTGTGTGACTTTCAGGTGACAAGATACATGGTGTTGGCTGGTGCAGGGTCCACTGTCAGCAACATTAATAAGTCTTCAGGAATCTCAGGAAGGTGAAGACCTTAGCCACTCTTATTAGGGCCATGAAATCTTTATGAAATACATAATGAGAGCAGGAATAAATAGTGATTATTTTTAATAAGGTATTAGTTCATCGCTATTACCTGATACTCTTAAATAATTTTAATGCATAACTTATTCTTTGGAAATTAGTTTAGCACAGGTGAAACAGGAAACCCACAGACACGAACTAGAATATAACATTCTCACAGCTGTGAGCCAGTTTCCCTGAGATGAAGCAGCAGCAGCAGAATGTCACTGCAGAGCCTGTGGGGAAGCAGTGATCACACAGCTGGATGACACGTCACACGGTGTAAGTCTGGGAAAGATACGAACATGTTCACTCTAAGTGTATGTGTGTGTGTGTGTGTGTGTGTGTGTGTGTGTGAGAGAGAGAGAGAGAGAGAGAGAGAGAGAGAGAGAGAGAGAGAGAGAGAGAGAGGCAGAGAGACAGAGACAGAGACAGACAGAAAAAGACAGAGAGAGAGAGAGAAAAAGACAGACAGACAGACAGACAGACAGACAGAGAAAATGACTGGACTACTGGGCCTAAGACTAGATCAATAGCATAGTGTGTTCTGGAGCTGCTAATATGAATACATGGACAGGACTTGAATGAAAAACAGAGTTACATCAAATATGTTCATGAAATAAATGAACTTGTAGGAAAATGGAGAGTGTGTCTCTATTTCTGGGTGACTTGATCAAATCCATGAGGGTGTTGCCCAGTGCTTCAGTGCATACTTTCAATGTGAATTACTCAAAACAAACTGAAATTTCTATAATTCTTGCAGACGTAAACTCATGTTTCTGTCATTTGGTTTTTGTGGTGTTGGTAATCAGGGGCCAGTTACTTAATGACATTTACTGGCATAGTTTGTTCCATTTTTTAAAAAACAATTTTATAATTGTATATTATCTGATTTCCATTTTAATTTTGTTGTATTAATGTGTGTGCCTGTGTGTGTGTGTTTGTGAAAGAGAGAGAGAGAGAGAGAGAGAGAGAGAGAGAGAGAGAGAGAGAGAGAGAGAGAGAGAGAGGATCTAAAACTAGTTCGATCTGACTCCAATCTAACTCACAATGCTCCTACCTTAGCCTCCAAAGTGCTGGGATCACAGCTGTGTGCCACCACACCTACTTCCATTTTCCATTTGAGTCTCCTGTATACATCAGAAAATGAGATCCCAACAAAATAAAAATGGACTTATGGCACCCAGCAGCTAAACATAAATTTACTTGGCATTTTTTATGAATGCATATTTAATGGATAATTGTATTTTTTAACTATTAGGGATTTTGATACTATTTGAGAATTGAAATTAGTTTCTCATTGCTAATGAAAAGCTTACTCAATATTATATCAATGTCAATGTTACAAAGTTCAATTTATAAACTTGAAATATTAAAACTTAATTTATGTTAATTAAAACATTCAATATCCAACTGAAAAATTTCCAGTTTACATTTTTGAAAGGACAACTTTACAAGGATTTAATAAATAAGTGAGGTAAGATTTCCATATATTTTTAAATACCCAGAAAATATATACTTTATTAGAAATCACTGCAATAGAATAAAGAAATATATGTAAAACTTTTTAAAACTTATTTATACATTGTTAAGAACATAAGTTGAAACTTTTCTCAGAATTCCTAAGTATATGCAAACTTAACAGAACAGAAAATTACTGAAAACTCTAAATTAGTTAGTATTTGGTGTATAATTCTGGCTTAAGTTCCTATCAATAAATGTATGGTCAGTTAACTTGAGAAAAGTAGTAAAATGACAAAAACAAAATGTCATTTCAGTGTAATTTAGTATTATAAGTATAGTCCAGCAAACAAATAAATGTGTGTTCTCTGTTTTGTACCCTCTAAGTTATTTTAGGTATTTTATGACAGGAGTGTA